GAGATTTACAGAGCTATAGATGCTTCATCTGTCTGCTGATACTCAGTCCTCCATGACCCTTAATAGTCCTTCCCAATTACTGATCAAGAGATCTTGAAAGTGCTCTCTTTTTACATGAAATGAGAAAGATAACACGCAGAAATTGAAAATAGCCACATACTTTCTATTACTCTGCTTCTCTGTGAATATATAGTTGTTTCCAACTTGAATATATTGTTATCAAACACACATTTATTTTATGAACGGTTAATCCTTCAGAAAAGTAATACAAAAATGTCAGTACAGCTACCTGATACTATTTATATTCATGTACAGTTACTCTGGTTAGTTTGTCAGAAGTTGCTTTATGTTAGAATTGAACCAAATTTATTTTAAGCTGTAAAGAGACAAAAAGCAATCTCCATTAAATGGATACACTGCAGCAGGAGAATAGTGATTAAAGGACTTTATTTACATTTCTAGATGATCAACATCTTTCAGATACTTATAATGGGATGAATTGATTTTTTTGTCCTCTACAAAAGGGACTTAATCAATTTTGCTGCTGGAAATGTTTTATTCAACAATCGCTAAATTTCCCTGCATACAAATCTGTCAAAACAGAAATTGTTATTGGAAAAGAGAAGCTTTTTTGTGCTGATCTAAAGATATGAGTTTTATGATTTGAAAAGAAGCCTATTGATTTTTTTCAAACATCATAAAAAAAAAAGGCTTACTATAACACAAATGCCTTAAAAGTGCAAATTCTTCCTCAAATTCCTGCAAGTATTAGCAAAACTTAATTTGGACTGATTTGCTATGAAATGTTTAAGTTATTTTATACAATAAATTAAACTGCACTGACATCTTTTAAGAAATAACAAAAAAAAAAGTTTTAAACATTTGTCATTCCTATTGAATTCATTTCTTTTAGGGAYATTGTAATGATTAAGCTCTTCCTATAGTGCTGGGCTATTCCTTAGAGGCCTTGGTTTCTGTTCTCAGCTCTCCTAGCAGCTCTCCGGGYAATGAAGGCAAGTCATTTCATCTGTAAAATAGGAGTGCTACATGTTCTACAAAATGCTTTGATATCTTAAGTTCAGGCGTTATGTAAACGTGATGCAGCATGCCACAAGGTATCTCACTTCTTGAGCAGTTGCATACATTTGGATGGAAGCACTGGTTATTAGTACAGCAAAAACAAGGCTGCAGCTTATACATATGTGTGTACACACACACACACACACACACACATATATATACATATATATGCATATATATGTATTCTGTAAGATTGCAATGCTTTTATTTATAATGATGAACAAACACTCGTGAAGTGCAACTCAGAATGCCTCAAAATAAGTTATGCTTATAAGTATATGTAAGTTGCACATAAATGAGCAGAAACCTGCCTGCAAGTCTTTAATACAGCAAGGCTGCAAAAATATCTAAATTGTGGGTTTGCATTGAAAAACCTATTAAAAATATGCATTATCTGGCTGAGTTTCAAGAATGAGCACCACATTTATGTTTATACAAATAAATACTAACCAGATTCTTTTCAAAGAAGAGAGTCTTGTCTTGTCAGATTTTATACTAATTTATAACACAATTTCATTTAAACTTATAACAGCATTGGAGAAGTCTCACCTCCCTGCAGTCTGCAAGATCCTTGACCTTGTCGGGTCTTATGCTCATTTGAAAAAAGGCTCTGTAAGTGTAATATATTATGATGATTTCTTCAAAATGTAAAAAGATATGATCAAAAAGAACCCTGTAAAAACAGTTAACAATGAATTTGGTGTTTGCTTTTAGTTAGAAAGCCTTCTAGATCTTTAAGCTGATGGATTGTCATATCTATAAATATACCTACTCTCTTAACCTGTTAATAACCACTGGATGCACACCATAGCTGTATCTGGCACTGTTGCAATTTTACTGCAGTCAATTCGGTTACCTTGGGGACACATTTATTATTGCCTACAGTAATAGCTGAAAAGTGAATTGAGAGTTGGGGCCCTATTGTACCAGGTATTGTGGAAACTAATCAGACAGGAAGAGAGTCCCTGCTCCTACCTGAATCCACATTAATCGCTGGCACTCCTACACACAATTTGATTAACAAGAAGGCCAGCAGGATAAGGTCTTATCTAGCCATATGCAGTATAAAACRTGACATTGCAAGGCATAACCTGTACCACATATAGTAGTACATTTGGACAGGAGTAGAGGTTGTCAAAGGTGGTTAGGATGYTTTACTGACACATACTGGTCATTTGGGAAAAAAAAAAAAAAAAAGGAATCTGCAGATCCTCAAAACTCCTGCTCAGCTGGAAGCCTCCTGCTGCCTGAAGCACACAAGCCTGGAGGTGGTGAAATGGCTCAGACCATTTGAGGAAATCTCCTCCAGTTTGAGGAGGTTTCAGCCTTGGTGGTCGTCTCTCGACACCCTCAGGGCCTGATTCASCAACATGCACCCAAAGGCAGGTGCACACACTAGCAGCTCTCCTTGACTATGCCCTGGCTCCGGCATTTCGCTCACTACCTGAGTTGGGGAGCAGCAACACCTAAGATGATGTTGGAAGAGTAAGGTTCTCCTTCCAGAGCTTTTCCAGATATTTCCAGTTAGTTGAGATGGTTCTGTGAAGCAAACACCATTCCTGGCTGCCTCTCTCCCATGGCACCTCTGTGGCAGAGCCAGGCAAGGGGTAAGGACAGGGTAGCCACAGTGTTGATGGTCATCATAGTGTCCATCGCCGCCTCCTCACCACAGCACCTCCCCTCACATCTGCCCACTAGTCCAGCCATCACCCCACTCCTGTTTCTCCTCCTCAAACAATATTTGGGTTATGTGGAGTTATTCCTCACCACTTGATTGGGAAGGACCTATGAATACGGGGCAGTAACAACCAGTGGAGATGGTTGATTGCAGATAACTAGGTGAGCTAAGGTTCAACTTCCATGTCCATGTCCAGCTGCAGCCACAGTCTCAGCTCTGACTTCAGCCCTGTTTGGTGAAGACCAGGACGCAGCTCCCTGCAGCAACAAGATACTATGTCCTCTGTGGAGAAGCTGATGAATACCTGACTGGTATTGATAGGTGAACCAGACAGGCATTGGTATGTAAAGGGAAGAGAAAGCCCCTGCAAGAAGCAGCTCAGCAAAGAGAAAAGACAGCCATGATGGTAGAGCTCAGCGTTATAGATTTTTATTTTTCACCTGTACAGAATGCTCTTACTATTGTAATAAGGCATCAAATGCACTATCAAAAAGCTCACAATGAACCATACACATTTTGCTCTTTAGTAGGTCCAAAAAGGAGATTTACATAATTAAATCAGTTTAACTCTCCCAGCTGGTAAACATTATGTTCATTACAGACAGATTTTTAAAAGAATTACAAAGATTAGAAAACTGTAAACATATTAAAAACAGCAACAACCCAGCTTAGCTTCCTAGGAGCAGGGGTTAAATGTTTCTGCTGCAGGTTTGGCTTGGGAGGACAGCAGTGAGAAGGCCRGGCCGGCTGCACGGGGACACCAGCAGCTCCATGACACGCGCTGCGTTGGGTCGGGGTGACGCTTCACACTGGGCCGCAGGCAGCTTCCAAATGGGCAGCCTTGGTCACAAATTTCTGGCTTAGGAAAATACAGGGCAGACACCACAGTCAGCAGGAGCCACTGTAACAGCCAGGACTGAGCAGTAGCCGTAATTCCTGCTAGCAGCTTGTGGGGATGGGCACTTGCCCCAGGCCGTACATTTGTGCCATGAGTTTGGTCAAGCTGAGGGAAGGATGGGATGGAAAGGGAGGGCCTGGGCACCACGGCTGGGAACCCAGAGGACACATCATGAGGTAGAAAAGGGGGAAGTGTCACATTTTGGAGCTTGGGGCAATCAGTAGAAGTGGTTYCTCCCGTGGCACAAATCACCACATGTGTCCTGGTTAGTGCGGGAGGTGCCCAAATCCCACCCGCTGCCTCCCCCCAGAGCAGAGCTCTCCATTAACTCGTACGACAAGGTTAGCACAGGCCATGAGAAAACAGTTCTCCTCATGCCTGCACCCTTAAAGCATTTAAATGTTGAGCAGAGGAAATCAGATTGCTCAGGTGTATGAGAGGGCAATCAATCTCCCTTGGCCTCAGCCCTTGGCGCTGCCTTCAGCGACTGCAGCGACGCAAACACCGTCCCCCGGGAGGTGGACTGATACATTCCTTTTCCACAATCAACCATTAGACAACTGTTTTGGTTTCTGTCACACTGTATGTCATTAAAACCTGAGAGTTTAGTGGTTCTTTATCACATCACCAACCCAGACAGTGTTATAACTTGCAAGGTATTTCTTTTGGTGATCAGAGACATATCCTGAGAGATTTTATTTGCTCAGCCCCTGCCTTCTTTCCCCTGAAAGCCTTCCTTCACCTCTTCGGTAACATGTAGCGCCAAAATAAAGAAACTCTGTTAGTGCTCTCACTTCAAAATTTGTATTCCYCACACTTTTGCATTGCATACTTAGACTAATGCGTTGACTTAAGTTTCCTTGAAATGTTTGGGGAACATGCGAGGGTTCATTTAAATGTTTCAGGCCCATGATCTGTGACACGCATTTTACAGAACGTCAGAAAACTTCTCACTTAATAATCACACACTGCCAGTCTGGGGAGTGGTCTGTTTTTTAGTGCTAATAATCAACATTAAGGCATGCCATGGCTCTTACAAGCAATCTGTGATCGTTACAGCCTTAGCTGTCATCCTGCTGCAATTATGGAATGTGCTCCAATTTTCTGCATATGTATCATTAAAAAATAAAAATAATGGCTCTCTGAAGCACCAGCCTCCTTTCCAACACTACTGCTTCATGGAGGAAAGAGACGGAGCGTGGCGGTCCCCACTCGGGGTCCAGCCTGGAAGTGCTCTCATCACCAATGCCCTGCTCTGCACCACTGCTCCAGCTGCCAGGGCTCCTCTCACATGGAAGCTCCTTCCATAGTCATCTCGGAAACGTCATACTGTGTTGCTGTGCACTTGCACGAGCTCTCCAAGGGTGAGGTGGGACACGGGCTGTGGGGAGCTCTGGTGGCCAAGTGTGCCCAGGCCCATCCCACAGGCAGCGGCATCCCAAGCCTTGACCCAAGCCCTCTCCTTGGGTATCTTGAGGCGTTGCAGGTGGAAACAAGCCTCGACTTTGAAACATTTGCTCTTAATGATGTTTCAGATTTGGCTCGTGATGGACAGAGCTGTGGCAGGGAACCGTGTGTTTCTGTTCAGCCAAGGGACAGAGCTCTTCCTGATATTTGGCCCTGCCAGAGGATAGGACATACAAACACACACATATACATATATACACATATATATACATAAGCCACCACTATACAGTAAGATATGACATTGTTCAACAATCCTTACTGTTTCGCCCAGCACCACAAAATCCCAGCTTTAACACTCCATGGAAGCTGGCCAAAACTAAAGAAAATGCCACCAGTGGCTGAGATTTTGGGCTATGGTGCCACATAACTAGAATCAACAGCAACACGTACCCTTGCCCACCCACTACCCTGAGCCACACATCAGTCCCTCTGCCTGATAGTTATCCTTTGCATTTCCTATTTATTTTTTAAATGAAAACACCCCCAAAACTCTGTTTAGACCCTTCCTTTTAGGCTGTGAGAAGGCTGACAGCTTGGGGAGGCAGCACTGAAGTTTCAAAGGGACAAGTACGATACAAACAGGTTTGATATAAGCAAAGCCCTGCAGCTGAGTTTGAATTTGTTTCGGCATCTGCACCAAAGAAGAGTTCACTGTCTGCAGCCCCTTGCTCTTTCAGTCCTTGTGTCTTTTGAGAATCTAGACAGGAGACCACTTAATTCAAGTTACGGCAGTTTTCATACCAACACATCCGTCCACTAAGAACTAAATCTCTTTTTTATGGGCACTACAGCTATCAGAAGCTAATGATTATCAGTCATTGCTAATCTGCACAGAAATGGAACCAGTGACCTCACGATGAAAGAGCCTTTTGTATCCTACCAATACCATGAGCCATATGGTCCCCTGCCCTTCGACCCTTACTTTATATTTTAAATAATCATCACTAATTGTATCTCTGTTTCAGAATCCAGATGATCTGTGCTAAGTCATGACCAAGTTGTGTTTGTCTGTTTTTCTTAGCTCACTCACTGTGGAGAAAGGGTCAGCTTAAAAATAAATTACTTATATATCTTAATTAAATGTCAGTCTTGCTATYTGATTATTGGTCCCGTTTCTTAACATGATACCAAGCAAGCTGTTAATAAACCTTCTGTAGGCTGCAGCAATTAACAGTTTCCAAAGTGGCAAAGATGTTCCTGTTTTATATGGGAGTAATAAGAATATTAGACAGGTAAAAGACTGAAGGAATATTTTATATTCTGATAAAGGAGCATGTGATGAACCTACTTATCACCAATCTCTTTTTATTCAGTGGTTTCATCATTTTATATTGACTGCATTTTCTCTGGCACGCTTTTCCTTTACAACAAGYGCTCATGTACGACAAACATTCGGTTACAGAGCTTAAGAAAAAAAATCATTCAGGTCAGACAAATTAACTGCATCACCAGCTATCTGAAGCTGCATCTGTTTTCTTTAATTAAATATATTTTCCTGTGGAAATGCTGCCTTAAAAGTCATGACCACGCTAATTATCTATGGCAAGCACATCTTCCTCAACTAACGACAGCTCTAACATATTATCATTTGCCCCAGACTTCATCCTGAAGTTGAAGGACCCGTACAGCTTTGCAGACTCCTTGGAGGAGGCGAACCGGCTCCTCCGGTACAGCTCCCCTTTCCACATGGACATCATGAGCAGGCTGGAGAGCACCACTCCCCCCAGGGTCAAGAGACACAAGCCGGCGATAACGCATCGATCCAAGTGAGCGCCAATCCTGGCGCTCTCATTCTCCAGTCTCTCCATCTCCCTYGCAGCCACCGTGTTGGGATCCACAGTCACGTCCCTGGGCACCACGTAGGAAATAATCACCAGCAAAATGCCGCTGACCAGGAACAAAATGGCACTGATGAACCCGTAGTCTACGGACTTCCCCGAAGCCGCTTCGGAGGCAGCATCATCTTCCTCGGAGACGAGGGACGGGGAATGGTGACCCCAGGCCGGTGGGAGCGCCCCACGCAGGTCCTGCTGCACAGGGACACCCTGGCAGCCGCTGCTTGGAGGAGATGGGGGACTCCTTGTGTGCTCCAGGTTCACATTTTCATCCACGTAGGTAAAGGAGGTCTCRAGCTCCCGGGCGCAGCAGCAGCCCTTCCTCTTGCCTGCTCCCTCCTCTCCGCTCAAGCGCTCGGGGGCCGCAGGYTCCTCCGGGGAAGAGGCGCCGGGAGGGCCCGGCAGCGGTGCGGGCGCCGCTGGCTCATCCCAGGGCTTGTCCTGCCTCTGGCAGCCCAGCGCTGCCCCGGCTGCTGGCGCGTGCCCCTCGCCGTCCCCATGGCCGTGCTGCTGCTGCAGCGGCGGCTCGCGGGCAGGGAGGCGCGCAGGGCAGGCGCCCGGCAYGGCCTGCCCGCGCTCCTCGGCGAGGCTCAGCAGCTCCATGCACGCCATGGAGCGCGGCCGGCCGGCGAGCCCGGCGCTACAGCGTCCCGCTGCCGAGCGGCATCGCCCCCCAAAAACCCTCTACTCCTTCAGCAGCGTCTCGCTGCGGACGTGGCTCGTTTCAGCGGGTAAATGATTAAACAAATCCCCTCTRACATTCATTTCTTCTCGGGCTGCAAATGAAATAGCAGAGGGAAAGGGGGGGGAAACAACAGCCAACAACAACAAAAACCAAGCCCAACAACCTCATGATGCTACATTAATACACCGAAGGAGAGATAACATGAATTTAATACACGAGTCTTCCTCTCAGCTGGTCCAGGGGGGCCGGCAAACACGATTGTTTTAACCACGCACTTAACGCCRCAATCCTCTTGCAGATCACAAATCTCTTAGGGAGCCTAATCAACCTTTGACACTGCGATCCCATTAAGGCAGGAAGACATCTGCAGTGCGCGGGACAGCCGGGATGGCCCCGCGAAACGTCAGAGCACACGGCGGGCTGCTCTCCCAGCAGCGAGCAACTTTTTTCATCCACCTCCCCCCCCCAAAAATTAGGAATTTTAAACTCAGACGCACAAACTAATTAGAAAGCTGCCCGCAAATCCCGTGCAGCTCAGTAATCCAGGATCTGTATCCTCCGGTGGAAATCTGATAATCCCACAGGAAAAGCGGTGCTCGCCTGTAGCAGATCTCCAGTTTGATTAAGCGCTTTTGCAATGAAATTGCGCCCGCGGGCGCGGTGCCTCGCAGGCGGGCATTAGGGCACTGCGTTACCCCCCATCTGCAATTAAAGCGCCGCCGCAGCCGCTCTCGCCGCTCGCCGAGCCCCGCGGCGCGAAGGCTGCTCCGCACCCGCGGA